CCATCCATCCATCCATCCATCCACCCACCCACAGTCCAACCACTCATCCTTTCATCAATCCATTCATCCACAGAGTCCCATTTTCTTGCATTCTGACAGAGGGGAAAAAACAGGAATTTTCCTTTTCTTTTTAGTCCACAACTGAAGAGCAACAAAACTCATATTTAGTTTTGACATGGTTTTAATACTCTTTCTGTCAATAGATACAGGTCAATATCTACTATTTACTGAACTGAAGAATCAACTGAATCCTGAGCTAGTGAAATGTGAAGTTACAAACAATCTGAAGGTGACTTGGAACCATTGCTTGTGGTCAGTCAATTTATTACAAAAACGTTCTCTCATATATTTTGGTTTCTCTTTACCACACATACGCTAATGTAGATTGTTGTAACGAGGCAAAAAAGTTCCAGTAAAAAGAAGATCAAGGAACAGCAGACAAAAGAAGAAGAAAAGTAAGCTGGTACTGTAGATAGTGCAAGGCAGATCCAGGATGATTGCAAGCTACAGCTGTGCACCTTAAATTTTACTTTACTTGTTAATCTTATTTTTTAAACACTGGAGCTGGGGATAGCCACACAGCCCATTCACCCACCATCTTGATCTCCCCTTGAGTAAATACAGAACTCTATGTTCAAGAATATGAAAAAAATCAAATGGAGGGCTTTTTCATAGTGATTAGATTAGATAATATTAGATCAATCACTTTGATTTTTGATCAGTTGATTAGTACAACATTTTGATTATTTTTTAACAGAATTTTACTCTCTGTCATTGGATTTTCAAGGATCATTAAACTGTTGATTAAACTAAAAAAGGTATGGTACATGTCATAATATTGCTAATAGACCTTGTTTGTAGTGATGCAATGTTTTCCCATGTCTATGTCAGACCACATGTCATTCCCTAGAGTATCATTTATTTGTTGAACGGTTGCACTTGAAAAGATGTATGAATATGTATACAACTTAAAGAATAATATTTTCAAGAGAATGACCCGTAGTCTGAAATGGGAAAACATTGCACCACAATGAACAAACGTTTAAAGTAACATCCCTGTCATGCCGTTAGTCCATGAGGTAGTTCTTAAAACTGGTTTTAACACAATAATCATTAATTGATTATCACCCCATTACGTTACTGGATTTTCTATTTTATCAACAGCCACTAGTCGGACACAACCTGTTAACAGATCTATTGCTTCTTTACGATAAGTTTATCAAACCTTTACCAGGTAATATTACTTTATAAAATGATAAAAAGGGGAAGAAGATAGAGTGATTTTCCTCGCACCACCATGAAACAGTTACTGGTAGTTAGTATATAATAGTCAAATAGACACTTACAAAATACAGTGGAAATAAGATCTTATAACCTCTATTAGTCTACTAACTGTTTCACAGTCTGCAGGATAAAACTTCTCTAACATACAGTAAAGCTCATGAGAATGTTATCATGTCCATGCATGGTTTCTGTACACTGTACAGTCATTGCGCGTAGTCAACGCATATGCAGGCATTTTCTTACTGTTTTACAGTATATTACATTATATTCAAATTTTTCTCCTTTATTTTCTAGAAAAGTATGCTGATTTTAAGGCCAACTTACATAAGGCATTCCCTTTCGTGTATGATACGAAGCACCTGGCATTCAAAATCCGTAAACATCAGGTACACTATCTTACGGACTTTTACCTATAAATATTGTGATGACGATAGCCATAACATAGTAAATATAGTGATGAGGATGGGAGAGGCATGATGGATGGATGTGGGGAATGGGGATGGGGGATGGGCGTGGGGGTGTGGATGGGGGAGGGGCATGGGTGATGAACACAAGGGATGGAGGTTCCCCATGGGGATTGAGGAATGAGGATTGGGATACATTTAAATTATTAAATATTATTACATTTAAATATTTTAATTTTCCTTTTGTAATTTTTCAGAAATTAAATAATAATTGTACTTTTCTGGACAATACTAACCTTGAAGATTTGCATGCAGCACTTAGCAGGTATGAGGACTTAAGCACATTGTCCGTAGGGTGGTATTATTGGGCGGCAGGTGGTGTAATGATGTCACACCCTATTGTACCATTTCAGCCACATTGATTTTCATTGATTTTTTTCAGCGATGAAGCAAAGTTCTTTGTGTTGTATAATCCAGGTATTGATTTAGCAGATATTTCTCAAAAATATGGTAAGTCAAAATACATGTATTATTATCACTTTTATTTTGTGTCGAACAAGAGCTAAGTGCATTCATTTTCAATTTATAAAGGAGAAGAACAACGCCCTCATGAAGCTGGTTATGATGCTTACTTATCAGGATTTGGTAAGTTAGTTTTAAAAAGTGGTAACAATTTTGAATGACACTCAGATTAAGGTCTCTAGAGATCAGTTACAGCCTGTACAGATAGTGCATATTAGAAAAATAAATACACAATTTGGTAGGGTAAATAGATTTACACAGTGAGAGTAGTTTTCATGTAGGCCCTTTCTAGATCAAATTGGAATTTAGGAGTTGATTTTTGCAGAGGGAGGAAAATCGGAGATCCCAGAGAAAAACCCTTGAAGCACAGGAGAGAACCAACAAACAACTTTACTCACATATGACGAGTCCAGGGATCGAGCCTGGGTTGCATCTGGTGAGGGGCACACACCCTCACCGCTACTCCACCCATGCTTCCCTTATTATACCACATCTTCTCTATTTGCTCCATTTTAATGTTATTTTAAATAATAGACAATTTTTGAATATTATTACATGCTGTACCTTATGTTATGATGCCTTGATACCTTTCTTTCTTTTACATATTTAGTTTTCTTGAGAATGACACATCTTTTTGCAGCAAAATTACAAAAGTAAGTAAAAAAAGATCTCTTTGGACTTAAACCTGAATGACAAAATCCTTCTTGTCATGTATGTACTGTATGTTATGATGTGACCTGAAATAATGGATCAATGGATGGACAGACGGATGTCAATTAGATGGATGGACAAGAAGATGGATGGTCGCATGAAGAATTTATCAAAGGGATATCAATTGATAAAAAAATTAAAAAAATCTTTAGTCTTTAGTGTCTAGTCGTTCTAGCGCTTTCGCACTAATTGGGGACACATTCTTTGCTCACACGCACTATCACTTCTATTCTATGCACACATCGCTCAACTCATATCAAAAATCTTAGCTTATAATACAGTACGATTTTCTCTTACAGATCTCAACTGTTCAAGCCTTTTCCATTTTCAAAGTTCATCAAAGTTTTACAGCCTTATGAGAACCAAGTGAATATTCCAAGGGCAACAATACCTTTTGTTGTAAGTAAGGATTGCAGTGCACCTACTCGAACCAAGGCTACCTAAACGAATTTTTCACAAATTATCCAATCAAATTCAAGTATCTCAACAATAGAATAGTCCCCTTCACAGTTCCCTGYDCCATCTTGAAAGGCAGCCRTGCCTTTGCATCGAAGCAAGACGAACGGGGAGCTTGCACGGATAGAGACATTTGAATAATTAAGTGTGTTCAGTGTTAAAAAAGGGTCTCTATCATTGCAAGCTCACCGTTAGTCACGCTTCAAAACAAAAGCACGGCTACCTTTCAAGATGGCGCAGGGAACTGTGAAGGGGACTATTATGGAAAATTCAAGATTCAGTAAATTCCACTGTCAAAATATAGATAACAAAGTTTCAACAAAAATATTTAATTATCTTGTATTTTTATTGCAATTATCAATAATACCATAAAAGTTTAAGATAATGTTTATTGTTGAGATACTCGAATGTGATTGGATAATTTTGCGCAGATTCAGTTGCGTCATTGCGTCTCTTTCAGTTGCTTCATGGAGCTGTGTCACTTGGGACTGTCAACCCCTGCGTGCTTCATAACTGCACACAGCACGCGTGTGCCTTTTCTATTTCTTCATTATGTTCAGAGAAATTTGAAACACTCCTTAGAAATACTGTTACCTTAATAGAACAGATTTAGTATAAAATTAGATGTAAAAAACAAGCCATACTCTACTGTCACGGTATGATGTTAGCAACACCTTTTAACCAATCACGACACAGGAGATTCCTAGTCATCCCATCAAATGTTCGTACTCATTAAAGTGCCATGCAAAGTGTATTCTACAACATTTACTCGAAATTACGAATTATTAAGATACTCGTCACGCATTAAGCTTTTCATATAAATCTGAATATCTTTTGCATTTATATTTTTCAGTGAGTCCAAAGCCTTGGTTTGCCTTAATGATTTTTAAAGTCAAGATTTTCTTATGAATTCACTAGTTAATAGTGCCATATTCTGTTTTGTCTCTCAGAATCTATCTGGTAATGACCCGCCATCTGTTCGCCCCCAGTGGTTTTTTGTGGAGTCAAACGTCACGCAACCATTGTCAGGTCATAAGGTAAGAAATACCGTTTACATGATGTTAGGATGACCCTAATAAATAAATWAAATAAATAAACAAAATAAATGGATTTAGCAGTGGCATTTCCACAGTGTCTCTTCATCCATTGTAATTCCAATTGGGATTTAGTAGTTGATTTTTGCGGAGGGAGGAAAGCCGGGAAACCAGGAAAACCCTTGAAGCACAGGAGAGAACCAAAAAACAACGCTACTCACATACGACGCCGAGCACGGTGGGACTCGAACCCGGGTCGCATTGGTGAGAGGCGAGCGCTCTCACCGCTACGCCACTCGTGCTTCCCTAATGCTAGGGACAAGCCTTGTTTTCCTTCACCAGGTAACACCAACAAAAAAAAAGAGGTAGCCCTAGCAGTAGGGTCACCCTTCCTCCATATTGGGCTCTAAGCCGCAAGCGTTTATGTATACTGGAAATTGCAGAATTATAGATAATTTATTCACTACCAAGTATTTCTCTAACATCAGTACAACTTCGAGTCTATGAGTATTTTTTTCTCGCAGCAAACGAATAGTATTTTTGCTATCTTCATAACGTTTTTAGATACTAAATTGCAAGCGCAAATTCTCTGTTCTCTGATGATCCAGAATCACATACGATTCATTTTTGGACCATTCTGAGCAAACATGGTCTTCCAAATAGATTGAAAACAAGCGGACTGAACGCATTCTCAATTACTCTACGACTGTCTGACAGCGTGTTTCACAGATAGTGCAGTTTTCTTATGACTGTGAAATGTTCACGGCACGAACACGGTCGTGACACGGCAAGGGATACGCCAGACAAATCACATTGCACGAGAATTTACTCTCCATCCATTCAAATACCCGGAACACGGCATAAACACGGCGCGGACACGGTCACGCCAAGAACACGGCACTTTTAGACCAATCATATTGCGCGTGAAAAAAATCAGCCAATTAAAATTCTAGAAAGTACCACGGTCACGGCACGTCACGCTTACGGCACTGAGCTTTTCACAGTCATACGAAAACTGCTCTAAAGCAGTAATAACATATTTCATTTTTTCGACCAATCAGAGCGTAGAAATATCTCAGTGTAGTGGACAGATGTTCTGCGGAAGTCCAGCCTCGCCAAAGGCAGTTCGAATCCATTCGTAGTAGATCTTCTTCCAGTATTCCTGAATTAAATTACCTAGATTCCAATTTTACTCGTCTCTTTTGAACTCCATCCAATTCTCATAATATCCACAACTTTCCCAAGTAGTTTTTTTCTCGTTATTCTATTACATGTAGGCAGTGCTTCAACAGAACAAGCAGACTTGCCTAACGCGGGTTTTATATCCCGTTTTGCTTGTTGTTCAACTTGTTGAGGCTGTAAAGATCTAGAATTTAGAAGTTGGTTTTTGGTTATTTTACTAGTCAGTGCTTGAACAGGACAAGTAGATCTGCCAAACTGTTCTGCTGTAACCTGTTTTTCTTGTTGTTCAACTTGTTGAGTCTCTAAAGATCTTGTATCTAGTTCCAATATTATTTGAGGTATTGGTTTCGCCTTGATGGGTACTGAAGTCTCTTCCCAGGCAGGAATCAAATCAGTACTTGTCTGCTTGTCAAGCTTGACGTTACATTGCAGTGGGCAGTTTTCATAGTGCTGTAATAATAATAAAAAGTGTTAAAACATTCTGTAGAAGTGAGTTGAAGAATAGGCATCTTGAAAGCGCTCTTCTTTC